CTAACGCTAAACCTAACGCTAAACCTAACGCTAAACCTAACGCTAAACCTAACCCTAAAACAAACCCCTAAACCTAATCATATCCCTTACCTTAATTGAAGTCGGCTTTCTGCCGTGGCGCCGTTTTAAAGTGCTCTTCTGTTGCTGCGCTGTTGCCGCGGCGGCGATGACACACGGTGATGACGTCGTGGCTTTAGCGCCGCGATTTTATCACCGCGATTTTGACGAGCGCGGTTTTGTCGTGCCACGCTTAACCGCGGCCCACGGATCAGCTGATCTAATGAGGACCGGCCATTCCATCTCTCTGGGTGCTATAGATGTTTCCAGCTCACTCTTGCTAGCCCCAGCCCTGCCCACTGCGCCAGGCAACCTTGAAGCCGAGGGCCCCTCTGTTCCGCAGCTCACCTTGTGGCTATGGAGCAAGCGGCGACCAAGGTTTGCGCTCCGCCACACCTGGAGCTCAGGTGTTGCTCAGGCTGCTGCTACGGTTGAGGCAGAAAGCCAAGTGGCCTGTCCGAATCAGCTACATACCTCGGCTATGGGGTTATTAAAGTGCTGCCAGGAAAAAAAGCCTGGTTAAGAATAACTAGGGACAGGTCTTCTCAGCGGCAGTACGAACAATGGGCAATTCTTTCTTTACTAAGGTGCAGATTTCATTCCGACTGGCTAATTTTAAGAGAAATCTATTTTTATGATCAAGCATTCAGTATTTAATTTTATCACTATCTCTACAATGCCTCTTTGATTGTGCTTTGGTTCTGTTATCCTTTTTACTATTATTTACAGTTTTATTTGACAATATTAACATACATATTATTATTATTTTTTGCACTGTAAATCAGGGGCATCAAACTAAGGCCCTCGGACTGGATCTGGCCTGCTGGGTGCTTAGATCTGGCCCACAGCGCTGCCCAGAAAACAGGGAAGGACTGGCCCGCGGTGCCTCTGCCAGGGAAAACAGAGCTCGGGAGCCCGTTTCCCTGGCAGAGCGCTTGGGCTACCACAAGCACCCCCAACATGAGTGATGTCAAGCTGGCCACATCAACCCCACCCCCAAGGTCAAACACAACCCTGATGTGGCCCTCAATGAAATCGAGTTTGACACCTCTGCTGTAAATGATCATGGGGCAAGCAAACCAAGAAAGCCTTTGTGTAGAGTTGCTGATCCATCCATCCATCCATCCATCCATCCATCCATCCATCCATCTTTCTTGTTCATCTTGCTTTCATATTCTTACATCCAACTGTTTTCCCACTTGTATTCAAATATTATTATTTCAACCGTATCATTTATTCCATAGCACAGAGCTTAATAAGTCTTAAAATCATAAAATGTCTCACTGTTTTCTCTATGGTAATACTATAATATTACAAAGTAAATGGAGAAATACGACTATCAATATACTTACTGTACATGAACTTTCCCCAACAAAATGAGCTCTCAAAATGTTGAGTTTGATTTTTAATACAATACAGAAAAATGACTATATTCCTTCAACTGCACTTTTTTCATTATTCATGAAACCCTGCCTACACACTCACTTTTTACCATAAAAATGTATCTGAACTAATTAACTTACCTCATCTCTTCCTGTTCATTAGCATTCTTTAGCAATATAGTTCATTTATTATTACATTATTACCATTTAAACATACATATAGAGAAATGACAAAAAAGCAACTTCAAACACTATGAAATCACAAAGAAGCTTGAATTAAACAATTTTCTGCATGAAGGGGATTACTTATTTAATTCTCAGATTGTCTTACTAAAATGTAACCTCATGTGTCTGGATTAGGATAACAATACATAGATTTAGTAAATCAAAATGTGTACACAGAATATAGTGCATTATTATTCATCTACCAATCTAATTTTATTATAATGAACCTTTTACATAATTTTACATACAGCAATGTCAACAGCATGGTTCATTTTGCTCATGAATTATAAGATAAACAGTGGAAATAAAATATTTTTTATTTATGTGTAATTTAAGAATAAAACATGGAACACAAAACTTTGTCAGAAACGTTTTCTAAACATAAATATTGGAAACCGTGTTCAAATTGTGTGGTTAAATTATAATGGAAACACTTGTTCCTTCATGAATCATGCTATTGCTTTGCTGCAAATCCAATCACATGCTTTGGGAGAGTATTCTCACAAAACAATTCAACGCTAACATAAATTACAAAACAATAAAGCTACAACAAAAAGTAGGAATAACTTTTACATGCAAAGACCACATTTAAAAGGGAAAGGAAAGACACTTAAATCACATAATCACACAGAAGCAAGATGCAAGAGTGATCATTGGATATTTTTCTACTGGTAAATAAAGCCAATTCTCACCGTTCTGAACAAAATGGCTGAACTAAGAGCATCTGATTGGCTATGCCCAAATACCCTCCTCCTCATCCTATTGGTTGAGAGAAGACAAGGGGGGGAAAGCACCAGAGAAGCATGGGAATGAAATAAAGATCTGGTTAGTATTTAAATCATTGAAAGGAATAATGTAATAGGAAAGGGAGCACTATTTTAGCATACTTTTCTATTCTACTGTTATGAATGTATGTTTGGATAATTATTCATGATAATCTAAATATCATTATAGCATATTTTATGAACTAGAATGGCTAAAACCTCATTAATCTCCCCAGGCCATTGAGAACTATAGTGGAAAAATCCATGAGTTCTTAGTTTTCTTTGAGCCAGTATTAATATTTTCAGTAAGCTGGCCATCTTATATTACTGCTAATGTTTTTCCAGTTAGAAAGTTCTCTTGCATTAGCTATTGTGTTTGCTAAGTCATTTGATATCATCCAAATCATGTTTTAGTTTAGTCAGCAACATAGAAAGCTAGCCCATGCATCAGAAATTATAAATTTAATTTCTTTTACTAAACTTGTAAGGTAGGAGTCTATGATCATTTAGTGTAAAACTGAGATTTTGCCATGGGGAAGACAGCCAATCTCTCCCTTAGAATAAGCAATAAATCACAGATCTTATTTGAGCATATATATATTTCCAAAGGAAGTGGCAGTTTCAAATAGTCCTCACATATAATTATAAGATTTGATGAAGTGTCTAGAAAATTCAGATCTACTTTATCTACAGTTACTTTTATCAGATCATTAGTTTACTTTCTTTGAATGTGGTAGCATTTTGTTATACTGTCTCTAATACTACATTCTGATTACCTCAATGACCTAGTACAATTTTATATTTTCTTTTATTTGAAGTAGACGCCGATTAATTTAGCTATTTATTTAGTCATACAATTGGTCAGATAAACTCTACTATTGTAAGAACAATCAGTCCACTAATACAGTTCCAAGAAGAGTTCTGAAACAGTGAAATCTAATATTTGTTTAGTGAGAATTCCAATTTATAAAGGAAAAGGAAAATCATTATATAACTGCAACAAACAGTTCTTTGATTCTATTTCAGAAGAACTGAACCTGGTCTTAGATACAATTTAACAATGGGATATTTCAGTAGTAACAGATTAGTAAAAAAGAAAAGGAACAACTATAATCTTACCTGGTCTGGGGAGGGCTTATGATTAGTTTGATTGAAATGAGATGATTTCAGATTATCATCTTCATAATTATCGGCCATCAGTTTCATGCGATTCTGAGTCTACAAAACAGATAAAAGGAAATTTCAATTTCATAAAACATTTACACTTTTTAATCTATAATATATATTCATTACATTAACAAGTTCATTACATTAGTGTCATCTAAAGAATGATTTGATGCAATCTAGTTAAAGTTCAGTTTTTTATTTGAATATACTGTAATAGACAGAATCTTGTCAGATTAAATTTATACTGGCCTCACATAATGGCTCTATCCTAGGAGATTCTAGATCAGGAGTGTTAAACTTGCAGCACGCGGGGCGGATGCGTCACATGCTGGCCACGCCCATGCCCGGTTTAGCAAAGGGGAAAAAAGTCACAATACATCACGTGACGTGGCAGTTATGATACGGGTTTGACACTCCTGTTCTAGAGAATGGCTATCCTGAATCTCTTTCTGTTCCCACAATCCAGCTCAGCACTTTGCTGCTTCTTGTCTCACCTCACTCCTTGGAATCTGCTCCCTCCTACCCAGAAATCTGCTGTAGTCTATTAGAGTAAGTTTAATAACTCAGGAATAGAACTTTCCTATGGCATACACCACTTTATCCTGAGTAGTAGTATAGTCTATATACCTCCTATTTGTTGGGATGCTGACAGTAGAATGTTGGTTTTCTAGGTAGTCTATAAATCAATCAGTGATCCTACTTTGCACAGAAGGAACATGCTTTTGGCAAAACTGCAGTTGTGGCAATTGACTAATGGACCAGACTGTGTAAAAAGAATTGATGGATATACGTTTCATATCAGGATTCAAAACAAGTATTTCAGCTCCCAGGGTATCAATTATTTCAGAATTCAAAATAGCTATTTTGGAACAAAGGAACTTTACCAGCAAAATCAAATAAGAATGCTGAAGAAACACCCATATATAACAAATGGTTCCAGGCCATCTCAACAAATACATTTTTTTAAAAACATTACAATGGTTAATTAATAGGGTATTTATATCCTGCTTTGCAGAATCACTTTGAGAATCACTTTATTTTCCTTTCCCTTCTATTCTCCTGCTTCACACCAATTTAAATCTCATATCAATTCAGCCGCTTCATGTATCTGGTGAAGTGAGCTGTAGATCTCGAAAGTTTGTTTCTTTAATGCAATTTGTTTCTCTTCAGCAAATTGTTGAGAAAGGAATAAAATGAAAAAGGATAATACATGTGCTGATTTAGAGATAATAGACTTGAACAGAATGTTCCGGGCAAATACGAGATTGAAGATTAGTTGGTGAATCCTGGTAAAATGAATATATATATATTGGTACAGATAGTCCTTGACATAAGATCACAATTGAGCCCAAGGTTTCTGTTGTTAATTGATACATTTATTTAGGAAGTTTTGTCCCATTTTATGACTTTTCTTGCCACGGTTGTTAAGTGAATCTGGCTTCCCAATTGACTTTGCTTGTCCGAGGGTCAAAAAGACATTGACCTCAAGACAATGCAACTGGCAGTTGTGAAGTATCTGAATTTTGATCATGTGACCATGGGGCTGCTGCAATGGCCATGTGTGAAAAACAATCATAAGTCACTTATTCCAGTGCTATTAAAACTTTGAACAGCCACTAAATGAACTGTGGTAAGTTGAGGACTGCCTGTAGTTAAGCATGCATGAGAATAAATGGAAACCTTAGCCGACAGTTGTAAATTGAACTGTGAGTAAGGCAACGATGTGTAGTGCTCCTTAGGAATTTGATGTATTTAAAGATTAATGTAGCCTTTAACTCTTCTATCCTCGAAGAACATTTCAAATATTTTTCAGGTTTCAGAGGATCTTTACAGAAAAGTGGTATCTATAGCTAGCATTCCACAGTGAGCAAAGTTCAAAAAGAATGTTTATTATTCTTTTTATCATTATCTCTTGCAGAACCCTCAGCGACCTCTCCTGGAACTCAAGACTTCTACAGAAGCTCAGTTGAGAAAGGCTAGATTAATACATATTAACCTTTTCTTGATGACACAAGTGTGTGGACTGGGGATTTGAAAGTGTGTGTATTTTTGTATGCAGACATCATTTTGTCATCTTGAGTAATCAAGTGATTTACAGAGAATGCAAATAAGGAATATGGCTCTAAACATGTCAGAGAACAATGGAGTTGTACTCAAAGAGGAAAATTAAGTGGATGATTGACAGTGATGGTATTCAGCCGGTTCGCACTGGTTTGGGTGAACTGGTAGTGTCGACCTGCCAGTGGGCCGCCAACCTACCCTGGTGCTATGCCGTCCTATTCAGCCACATTTTCTAAGTTGTGTGCATGCGTGCAAGTCATGTGCACAAGCAAAGCACATGCGCAGGCTGCATGCATGCACAGAAGGCACGAGCAAAGCGTGTGCATGCTCGCTCACAGTTTTGGTGCACGGCGAACCAGTGGTAAAATTATGTGAAACCCATTATCTGATTATTGCAAATTAAACATAAATACTGAAAAATTAGAGGCAGTAGATGTAGGTATATTCCGGCACAAAACTGAGGGGAAGATAGTTTTCATATAATGACAAATAACTATTGCAAAATTAAGAAACTGATAGTTTTTCATAAAATGGTACTTCCTTGCTAGATTGTGAACGACCTTCATTACTATTTAGGGTAAGTAGATTTTGACATATTGACAAAAGAGTCTTGCAAATGAAATCAGTATTAGATTAAATTATCAATGTAATATAAGATCCAAATATATCTTCTCGAAGTTCTGAAATCTAAACTATTTTCTGCTAACAAAGCACTGAAGGCAATTTGTTACAATAGCTTCTTAAGGATAACATTTTAAAAATAGTGCCTGAATATTTGACGGGTTTATTTCACAGATAAATATTGTTGTTATTAAAATAAATATGAATTCTTATCTACAGCAGATGATTTTATTGTTTGTATCTGGCAATCATCAAGTTTGGGTAAGCCCATGGGGAGGGCACTATCTGGATGACGACAATCCAAAACGTGAAAGTAGAGGATAATTTAGGTATAATTTAAGAAATAACAGCTGCAATTATGGACTGACTAAATTGTTCAAAAAGTGAAGATAGCAACTGACTGAAATTTCAGTCAGACAAACATTGTAGTTAACACACCATAATTGGCCCATTCTAATTTTCCAGTCTTGCCTGGAAAGGACAGTGTAAGGAAAGAACGATGTTTTTTCAAGGACATGTACATTTGCAATGTATAGTCTAGCTACAAAATATGTTATATTGCTTTATCGACAGGTATCTTCACAGAAAAAAATCCCTCCAGGATTTTTAAACGTAACTTTTACAAATGAATAACTTCTACCAATATTCATAAAAAAGAACTGATTATTTTCTGACAGAGAATCAGAGTGGAGAGATGGAGCCAATTTTCATTCATTTAACTTTTAAGGGTGTTATATTTATTTGAAATATTACTGTGAGGCTTTACATGAGATATTTCAGAGAACATTATCTTGACTTTATAGTTGAAAAAAATGATATGTACTCATAAAATACAATATAACATAAGCACACCCCATTACTAAGGATGAAAAAAAAATGGGAAATCACTTTATAGAACTTTATTCTCATAAACTTTATTTGGTTATATCCTGTTTTGTCTTATCTTATTTCACTCTATGGAACTATTCCTATTTATTTTGATCCAGTTACCAGCAGCAGTTAACAATCTTGTACTACTATTTCTTGGTTGGGATCTGTCTGATTACTAAATTCTGTGGGAAAGAAATGAGGGACACTAAATGCCCACATTATGTTCTTTCCAGAGAGGAAAACACAAATTACTCTCACATATGTGCATTGCATATGTGAACATAAAAATTAAAGCAGATGGCAGATAATATTTTGGCCATGTCATGTGGAGGAATTCACTGGAAAAAGCAATTATACTTGGAAGAATTAGCGGTAAAAGAAAACCAGGCCACCAAGGAAGACAGTGGCTGGACACTATCAAAGCTGACACCAGCCGAAGCATAGAACAACTCAAAGAACTAGTATAAGATCAGAAGACGTGGAGACACCTGACCCATAGAATCGCCAAGAGTTGGAAAAAACTGAAAGGATAACATCATCATTATCATTAAAGGTGAAGGTGAAGGTTCCCCTGCACATGTGTGCTAGTTGTTTCCGGCTCCAGGGTGGGGGGTGGGGGCTCATCTCCGTTTCTAAGCCGAAGAGCCAGTGCTGTCCAAAGACGTCTCTGTGGTCACGTGACTGGCATGATTAACACTGAAGGCGCACGGATCGCTATTACCTTTTCACCAAAGTGGTCCCTATTTTTCTACTTGCACTTTTCACGTGCTTTCGAACTGCTAGGTTGGCAGAAGCCGGAACAAGTAACGGGAGCTCATTCCGTTATGCAGTACCAGGGATTTGAACCGCTGAACTGCTGACCTTCTGATCAACAAGCTCAGTGTCTTAGCCACTAAGCCACCCTGTCACTTTCATTATCATTAATGACACATAAATCATAAAGTCAGACCGTTGAACAACTTTCAGATGTGTGGACTTCACCTCTCAGAATTCTCAGCAATAGTCATATTGGGTAAATGTGGACTGTCCACCCTATCAAGATCACCTTCTAATTTTCTCTAATTGGTTGAATGATCTTGCAGTATGACTCATGGTTCGAGTGGGCCGATTAGGAGATGCATGCTTAAAACATCAACCTCTTAAGCTCAGAGGAAGAACAAATACCTGTTCGAGTCCTCAGAATGCTATTAATATAACAGAGTTTAGGGAGGAGAAAAAGGAATCAGATAATTAGAGTGGTTCTCTAGTACATTTTACAAATGTATTAGAATCTATTAATTTTGTTACAAATGTGAATATAATAGTTGCTGCTATTGCCTTATCATCACACTTCATCATAATAAACCAGGATGTTTTTGTTTCTCAGACAAAACGTGGATGAGTATCACATATAAATATGTGAATAAAGTTAAAATATTAAGGATGGATTAGCAACGCAAGAATCTAAAGCCCTTTCACAAAATAACTTTTTATAAAGCCAGAATGACAGTTCTCTGAAT